TTGGGTCAAAGAAGTGATTTTTTTAATGAGTGCAAGAGAGACATAGAGAACTCGCATGAAATATTCAGAAAATATTAGCCTAGAAAATAGAACCTTAACAAAATAAAATTAATATATTAAGTTATAATTGGGAGATGTTTGACAAATTTGTTTTTACGTTCCTACCTTTGAAAAATATAGAAACGGATTTTAGCTCATGTATATTTTATATTAAAGAAAACAATACCCTAACGAATCGAAGACTATATATAAAGTTATATACAGTACTTTTGAACACATTCTGCTATGAATTATTTATATAAGCCAAAGCTGTACGTTGTAGCTTTTTTGTAGAGTATAGTTTTATCTTATTTTGACTTTCTAGTTTTTGCTTTCAAAGATGAAAAGGAAAAACTTGCAGGCGGAACCTTGGGGGAAAAATAAGCCATGAACACTTCTATGTACATTGAAATTTGAGCCAAACTCTTTGTGTATATAGCATCCTAAATATATGATCACCTTCGGTGTAAGTACCTGCGTATTGTACGTTCACCAGATTAAAAAGTATATTTTTGTGGATTGACGCCGACTTGAAGAAAGGCGAGGTCCTTATTAAGTAGAGTATTCACTGTTTAATATTTACTATTTTGTTAAATATACTGTACTTTCTTTGGATTTTAATTATTATTAATATTATTATCCAGATTTTTCAGAGGGTGTATAAAGGGGTCGTCCCCCTCACTGGTGGTGAATGTGTGCCGTTCAGTTGTAATCTCTGTGCTGTATGGTTAAGCTTCATTATACATTTTATATATATGTATATAAATAGCAAAGTGGCAAAAAAACCCAACCAACCCGGTGTTAAGTTCATCCTGCATAAATAGAAAAAAATCTGTTACGACACATTTTAAGGCATCATTTTGGAGCTGCCTCTTCTGAGGAGTTAAAAAACCAAACCAACAGTGGAAAAGCTTGACCTAATTTCTCACGATAGGGAAATGGCACTTACCGGGTGAGCACAAAAGGTTCTTTAAGTTGTTTAAGTGGTTTGGGATAAAGCTGCAGCCTCGGGAATAAACCCGCTGCTCCCCTGAATGGGAAGGAGTTGCCCGGAGCCCGCTGTGGCCCCCCGTGGAAGAGGCTGGTGTTTGGCTTTGGATTGGGTTTGCACAGCCCGAGGGCAGCAGCATCTCCCTGGGTCACTCGGTGCCCATTTGAAAGGCCCCGGCCAGGCTGGTGCTGTAGGAACTCCCTCCTGGGAGCCAGAACCCGGGAGCACTGGCCTGTGCTGGGCTGGGGAAACAGGGTCCCTTCTCCTGATCCTGGCTGCAGGTCTCCTCTTTGCACCTTGCTTCCCGTGGTAGTTCTAGTACTGTCCCATTACCCGGACTCTGATGTTACCCCTGATAATGAAAAACTTTTACTTGGGCTTTAATTTTTGCAATTTAAACAATCACCTGATGCTGTAACTAAGAGTGTGGGAAACCTCCGAGGGGCACAGCCCCAGTGCTTTGCTCCCCATGGCCACTCAAGTAGCTGGTCTGTGCAGCTCCCGGTAATGTGAAACACAGACAGGTTTTGGCTCTTTTCAGCCCCTCGCCTTGGGAAGTGGTTCTCCGTTGATATAATTAGTTCCAGATTTAGAGAAGCTACTCCGAGGGCAGCCCCTTTCCTCCTCACTTACCACCTTTGAGAACCTTTCAGTGCTCGGGCCCGTTCCGTGGTGGTTCATTATTTATGCACACGTATGGACTTTGCTGTACATCCGAGTGGGAGTTCTGCATTCACATTTACTGTCTATTTTCTTGTGTGCCTTATCAGATGGCTTTGCTGACTGTAGTCTTTATTTCTATGCAGGTTTTTAAACAGTACTAGTACTGTTCTCTTAAAGAAAAAAAGCTACTAAGGGTTAGAGTTTGTACTGAAATTGCACCAATGAGTTAAAAATATAATAATGACGATGATAATCTGTTCTTAAGAAGGGCGAAGGGGCCTGGTCGCACGGTGCCCTGGCCTCCAGCAGACCAAGTCTTTCCCCAGCCCCTGTGGGTGGGAGAATCTTGCGCCATCAAATCAGTGGGAATCCTGATTTTTAGTAACAGGTAACTTCACTTTTTTAGGAATTGTAAAAATGTTTTATAAGAAAAACAAAAAAAAGGGAAATGTCAGAGCACAGGTATTTCAACAGGTAAAAACCTACTTTTTTAAATTAACTCTACTGACTGAAGTTGCAAGTGGAGCCGCTCTTCGCCTGAGCCCCGTGTAAGGTTTGTATCTGGTGTGAGCGGCGCCTCCATCGCTGCGCTCACACCCTGGTGTTTAACACCCACCTTAGCCTTTCCTTCCACGTAAAGGACACTACCGCATCCGAACCTTGGAATTACTGTGCGCACAAGAAATACATAGTAAATAAGGAACAAAATAACTCCTAACAATCGATCCTGGGAAGAAGTTGAATTAGAATGTGAAAGAAAGACTTAACAAATGTAAACGTTTAAATCTTAGTAGAAACTTTCTTCACTTTGCTGTGCAAGAGAACACTGCTTTGCTATATTTAAAATGGCTTTTTTAAAAGAGATTTATGTATTTGGTAAATGTTTGTAGTCAACAGTTCACAAAGAAGCTGTTCACGGTTTAATGCTGATAAGCCGTTTGGCGGCACAAGCTGGACTTTGTTGCCATCCTTGAGACGAATCTTTTAAGAAAAAAAAAATAAGTTAATCTCAATTTTTTTCCCTGAATGTGTTGTTTTTTCTTCAATATACAATAAATATTCTAGTGAACTTTTTATCAAATGGTTAAGAAAATGCTAGAGGTTGTTGTAAAATATTTGTATCCTGCATTCACTGAAGTAAAGATACTGGCTTTTACTGTGTACTCCAGCCTCTCTCGTGTTTCAGAGCACGCGTTCTCTTTGCCCCTCTTGGTTACTGCATTCCCGTTAGGAACCGACACTCTCCAAGAACCTGATTACAAAACGCTGTTGAAACTGGCAGAAAAAACCTGGATAAACCCCGCAGGTGAGCGGGTCACTCACCCGCTCGAGGTGTGTTCCGTGGGCAGCGCTGCTCCATTCCCATCCCGGCGGGGCACAGTGACACATGGGGAATCCTTGGCCTTAATGCAGCTCCATGAGCCCCATGGGCAGAGAGCAGTGTCCGACCTCGCGCCCGGTGGGGACGCGGCGCAGCACCTGACCTTCCAAGAACACAGCTTTTAGCTCCGTCCGGTTCCGTCACCACAAAAAAGGCCGAGCAGTGGGGTGCCCCTTGTGCTTTATTTGAAAACGTCATCATTCCCCCCTCAAACAGAGCTACGGTTCCTTCACAGAAGAAAAATACAAGTTGTAGTTCAGTAAAAGATACTTTAGAGTCCTCGATTACAAAATCAGGTTCCCTCAGGCTTTCCTGAGCACCTTTATGGAAGGGTTGCAAGAAACAAACACAGGTTTTTGCTACAACAGCACATGGTGCTGCTTTGCCTCGCTCCCATCCCCACACACCTGCAGATGCCTGCAGGGCCAGGAAGAGAGCAACAGGTGCTTCTGCCTCAGCCCTCACCCAGCTTCACCCTTGCTCACGCCACTCTCAGCAACAAAAACCACTCCATGACTCACGCTGCCTTGCCCCTGCCCCTGCCCCTGCCCTAGCCTAGGGGGGCCCAGCTCCGCATCACACAGCCCGGGCAGCGGGAAGGACCCCGCGCTTCTCTGCAGGCTGCAGAGCAGCCCAAAGAGGTGCT